TAAGTTAGCCCATTTGAGTTATCTTCATTCAATAATTGTTGCTCTATACATTCCATTTTTGCCAACTAAAGATTACAGACACAAGATTAGATTAATTAATCTAATATTAATTAGATTAATATTACAAGAAGCTTTCCCTCACAAATCACTCATTATTTCTTCTGAAAGTCACACAAATCTACTTTAAATTAAAACAGTGAGGTAAACTGAACAATAGCACCAAATAAAAAATCCATGGAAATCAAATTAACTGCTGAAATCATTGCTGGAAATAAAATAACATTTTAAGAAAGCTGAACCTTTAGAACCGAACAGACACTTTCTCTTTTGCTCTCTTTACAAGTGGGCGATCAAGTTCTTGAATGCATATTTAATATTGAATTTCATCACTGGAAAAATAGCTCCATGCACAAGCAATAAATATCAACACCATAATTCTTTCAACAACACTATAGCATATCTCAGGAAATGACAGCATGCTTCTGAAGAAAAGCTGCGTCTCTTGCAGGATAGCAATCTTCCTCAACCACGGTCACTTAGAAATTAATTTGATTTGAGATGAGCCCCTTTGCACCCCTTTATTCTGATACCCATTTTAGCTAAAAAAAAAAAAAAAGGAACAAATACTATTGCCTAGTCATCCCATTTCAAGTAAGAGACCAGAACACCATAGGTAATGTTAACGTTCCTGGATCTTAAACTTCTTTGCCAAAAAACTGTATTCAAGGAGTTAAACTGAAAGCACGTTTCTGCTGTTGACTTCAAGTTCAAGAACGGACTTGATCGTTCTTCAGGGATTCCCTTTCATATGAGTCATTGTTAAGGCAGGCCAACCCTTCCCTTTTCTCTTTCTATGCAAGAATAATGCCATTTCTCAGGAGATCACAGCAGCTGAAAGATAGCCCAGAACGGCAGGCATAGTTCAAGACTTCAGCACAAAATAATGTTCAGTCAATTACAAATAACCAGGGTGGTCTGCATAACCAATTAGTATCACTTTTAGAAATCATATTAACAATAACTACAACTTAAACACTAATACTAATTTAGCAAACCAAATGTACACAAAATAATAACTTTAAAAAGAAGTCTTTAGCAATGCCATCACTAAACTCACAAAAGAAAGAAAAGCCCAGCCTCTTTGTCAAACATGTAAAGATTTAAAAATGATGTATTAAACTGTATTATTTCCTATGTATAACAATCTGTCCAATTAAAGAACTTTGGCTTACTTTTAATAGAAATATTGAAATGTAGAATAACATTGTTATACATACTATAATTGGTTCATTATTTAGATTATACAACAGAAACCACAATTTTGTTTGTTTGGTTTGGGTTTACTTGAAAAGGTGAAACCAATTATTGCAGTTTAAACTATAATATAATATGGTTACCTATCAGATTATATACTAGGCCATTATATTTACTATTTGATGGAAATATTCTGTAGGAATTTTTTAATCATGATCTGGATCAAATATTTTTAATAAAGAAACCTTTAAAGTTTTGATGAAGCTATACTACCAGAACCCTATCCCCTATAGCTATGCTGGGTGGGATTATGGGAATTGTTGTAGTCCAAACAAGATAAAGATTACTGCCATACATTACTATTTCAGACTACTGTGTTCTTGGTATTGTTGAAAAATTGGCGGGTAGCTTTAACCATCAATCAAAGAAATAAATATAAAATAAATATAAATATATATAATGTAATATATTTCCATTATATTACATTATATTTCCAGAATCTGGAAATGTCTAGTCACATGTTAGCCTGCCCCTTTCTGTTCTTCTTTTCCACATAACTCTCTCTGTTGACTTCACAACTGAAAATGCCCTCTTGGGTTAACTTTATTCATTATCTGTTACTTGAAAAAATAATATAAGAAAGCATGGGTCTGCCTCGGTCAACCTGCATCTCCAAATGATACTGTAGCTCCATCTGAGAGTAGACAAGACTGCCTTACTCAACAAAAGGCACTGCACAGGCTACAGTGTGGTACTGCAATCACTTTGGAACTCAATGAATGCTGAGGGTGAAACGGTCCTAATTATCACAGCCCTCTTTGAAGGACTGGGAGAAGTGAAGAGTTTAAGCAATTCAGGAGACAGTTTAAAGTTCAGGGGGTTCAGCAAACAGCTGTAGAATGCCTCATTTGTGCCAGCACCACGAAAACTCTTTCCAAAACAAGAAAGCTTTAAAAAAAATTGCTCCTCTCCTTTCATTTTTGCCTTCATTGACCCTGGCTTTTTATAATCCCACTACCCCATTTATCTAACTGCCTTTTTTAGCTCCTCTTTGCCTGCATTATCTTTACTCAACTCCCAATTCTTCTAGTAGCTTGATTCTAAAATAGCAGACTAAGAAGATCCTGAAAAGCAGCAGATGTTTTCAGATCCTTGCAAATGAAAATAGAGCCTTCCAGAAGAAGAAGAGGAAGAGGAGGAAATTCAGGTTAGGAAAAGTCAGGCAAAAATTGATGTAACTTGTCCCTGGAAATATATGCCTTTGCACTCCACTTCTAGCCAAGCTTTTGGTGTAGCTTAGCCATCTTAAATGAGTAGTTAATAACAAAGTGTCCAATTTCCTAACAGTGAGGACAATTAACCAATGGAACAGCTTGCCTTCAGAAGTTCTAGGTGCTTCATCGTTGGAGGCTTTAAAAAAAGAGCCGACAGCCACTTGTCTAAAATAATATAGGGTCTCCTGCTTGAACCGGGGGTTGGACTAGAAGACCTCCAAGGTCCCTTCCAGCTTTATTCTGATTAAAACTATAATAATATTTATTTTCTTTTTTATTGTTGAGGGAAAAATAATTTCTTACTTGCTATCATTAATTGGCTTTGCTAACTCTTTAAATAGTTTTACAGCTTTCCATATTAAAATAAATACGAATAGAATAAAAAACAAAACGATATGCAGCACAAGAAACATATTCTCTACTTAAAATAGAGAATTTGAATGAAAATATTTACAGAGCCCAGGATGGAAATTCTTTCTAATCAGGAGTTTGTTTGTAGATAATCTACATAAGAAGGTGGTTTGTTATGAATTCTCCAAATACATGTTTATTAAATTACATAAAAGAATGTATAATTACATAGAAAGTACATAAACTTTAATATAATGAACACAATCTTTATAGGGATAGATTATAAGTGATTTTGTATTCTGGTGCTTTTATTAAATCTGTTTTGCTTTCTATAATGGTTGACAAAGTTCTTCCTTCCCTCTATCACAAAAACACACACAAACTTTAATTTAATTCTCAGGAATAATTTTCTGTATCTCCTGTTGGCTCTCCTTATATTCCTGGCTAAGTGAGGTACTTGGTTTTTCAATTACTTTAACCTGACAATAGAGACTTCAATTTATTCGTTAAGTGTATTTTATTTACAATAACTACATGTGCACAAAAGATAGACAAATTAGATTTTCAATTCAACTATTTACCCACAGATATCATATCTAGATCTCATAACCCCAGACCAAGGATCCCCAATTTGAGGTGGGATGATAGATTTAGATTTTGGAGACCATGCTGTAGGTTCTGTCACAAGATGGCTGATGCAGTGCCGATTCACAAACATTTGCTAGGGCCAGAACTAGCTGAAAAGCACCCGTTAACTTACCCTTGCTACTTTTGCTCTTTTTTTGGGAATGGGACAGATAAACACCCTTCCAACAATGCATTTGGCTACAGCTGACCATGCTCATTTTCCAGGAGAATCTTTGGGACTCCCAAGAAATTCCTGAAAAATGAAGATGGTTGGAAGCTAGATTGTTTATTCCATATCCCAGCTTTCCATTCTATTAAATTAAAATAATATTTTAATCAAAGTAATAGGTGAATCAGGAGCCTGCTGGGTATCAAGAGAGATGTGTGAAATTATACTGATGGTGCTAAAACTTCATCTAACATCATCAGTATGTAGAGGTCACTGCAGGAAAGTCACTGTGATGATAACTGAATTTCACCTGTATTCACATAATATTACAGTCCCTAAAAAAATCAGACACTTAGTAGTTTTGCCATCACCTGCCAACAATATAGTTTGCTGTAGGCCCAAAGACTATTATCTCTACAAGAGATTAAATGGATACAAATCTGGCACCAAAAATCTCAGCATTCAGAAATGAACAGTTACTAATTGCTAAACATTATATTGCTAAACTTAAAATAGTTGTTCACCCCAAGCCATTTTTAGCAATCTCCTTCTCCTTATACTCTGCAAACAGAACCTGTATCTTAATGAGATTCACTAAATTTTTTGGAAAGCTGGGCAAAATGGAAAAGACAAATACTGTTTATCTACTTTTTTCTACTAGCTTTTTTCTCTCTCTCTGTGTGTATAGCTATTTCTATCCAGCAAAAGTATGTCTGGAAATCATGAATTGTGAAGCTGAGACAAATTTGTCAGTTAGATTTATTGAAATCTTCCTTTTACCATTGTATTCAAGCTACAAACATATCCAGGTTCCTCCAGAATAATTGTATTAAGAAATTATTTTTCTTTTATGCATTTCAGAAAACAGAAACACAATGAAATTTAGTTCCAAGTGCACACATTCGGGATCTGTCTGATAATGTCACTCATGAAAACACAGTGGTGAAATCCAAATTTTTTTACTACCGGTTCTTGGGCGGGGCTTGGTGGGAGTGGTGTGGCTTGGTGGGTGTGGCAGGGGAAGGATACGGCAAAATCCCCATTCCTTCCCCACTCCTGGGGGAAGGATATTGCAAAAATCTCCATTCCCATCCCACACTGGGGCCAGCCAGAGGTGGCATTTGCTGGTTCACCAAACTACTCAAAATTTCCGCTACCGGTTCTCCAGAACCTGTCAGAACCTGCTGGATTCCACCCCTTGTGAAAGCATATAACATAGTTGACCTAGATAATAATATAGGCGAGTGTGATTTAAAAAGTGCAACACTGCAGCTGTATATTTACACTGGCAATTTAAGCATAAACATTGGTAGTGTTTTAAATACCTGGAGCCTTCTCCACAAATATCACTTTAGAATCTTGAAGAAAGTTGTGTCCGCTCAGAATTATTTTCTTTCCACCCATCACATGGTAGCTATCAAAGCTCTGCTTTTCAACCAGAGGCAGTTCCTGGGCAGACCTTTGGGCTGATGGAGATTTAAAAAAAACACAAACAAAATGTGAATATACACATACCGGGATTTAAGGTTTTTAAATATTCTACTTGGGCAAACAACATTTGTAAATTTTTAGCAGCATTTCGTTTGAGGAGACAGTTGCTGAGTTACTTGTGCCTTAGTCCAATTTCAAGATCTCTTTGGAAGAACAGTGCAGTGTGTTTATTTTTGCCATCAATTATTCCCAAGAGAAATTCAATGTTTTGAATACAAAGTGCTTCTTTTTCTGAAATTCAGAGCGACGGAACAACTTCGATTTTAACTCCAAACACAAACACACTAAGAAAGAAAAGATACTTACAACATTCAATAGGGTTGGAAGACGCTTGCAAAGAAAGGGTTCTCCCATTAGGTTGAGGGATATGAATACGGAAGACCAGTCGAACTCGTGTATTTTTCCTCCCAATGTCAGTTTCTCCTTTTCTTAGTTCAATGTCTGAATTTCTAAGTTTCAGTATTCCAGCACAGTCAATGCTATTCAGAAAACAACAGCAGCAAACAATCCATTTAAAATGTTGCATGTGTCCAGAATGACATCTAAACAATTGGTGTGTCTTAGCTAGCTTAAGAGAAAAAATAACTAAAGGGCACAAGGAATTCCTAAATTATTTATTCACAGAACTAAACATACCAAAAAGTGTCTTTTCAGTTCCTTATTAATTTATTAAACCACTGGATCACCAGTTTTAGGCTTGGATTTTGAAAATCATGTTACATTCGCCATATTGAAAATATAGAAGAGATACAAACCCGAGTTGTGCCTGAAATCATGTTTGCGACTCTCAGCCCATGAAGCATTTCATAAACTTGAAATAGTAGGCAAACACAAATGGCTAACTGGTTCCAACTCAGAATTCAGAAGCAGCAAACCAGGTTTGTATAATTATAATAGCCTTACTTTCCTTTCAGTGTCTGGGATTCGAGGCTGATTCAGACATACTGATAAATCAAGGTTCTCCTTCTTTCCTGCCTGTCTGCCTGCCTGCCTTATAAGACTAATACAAATGATTCTTTGCTGGTACCAATGAAAGAGAAAATTCTGGTTTGCCTCGAATTAGGAAAGAAGGGAGGTAATGATTACATAGCTTGGGTAGATTATGTATTTGCCCAGAAACTCCTTGAAGACTTTACGTCATGTCTGTTATGTATATTTTTCACTCAAGGGCCTGTACTTTTAGCAATTTTATTACATAGAATTTCTATAGGTGAATCTTCCCTAATAAAAATATTTCAGGACTGTTATATGCCTGCCAGACAAGAAAAGAGCAACTAGATTTCAATAATACAGACGACAGCTGACCATATGCTACATTTATACAAATTGACTCCTTGCCATTCGGTTTGGTGGAATAAAGCCAGTCCCACAAGCAGTTTTAACTAGAATTTGGCACAAGTCTTCTGCTATAAAATATCAAGAATGGTCAGAGCTGTCTCTGTCTTGGTTTTCAGGAAAAAAGAAAAGGGGGGAAATGCTCTATTTGATGAGTTGCTGCGGTAGCAAACAAGTCAGTTGGATTTGAAAGACAGCCAAACATCATCACTCCTAATGGTGAATCAAGACTGCTAATGAAGTCAGGATGTTGCACAGTCTGAGATCCTATAAGTGAGCTAGCAAGAACTTTGGTGCCAAATGCATCATGGAGCTATAATGCAATGCTTATGATGATGATGATGCTATCCATTCAATTGTGTCAGATTCTTAGTAATTCTATGGGCCCGTTCTCCACATTTTCTGATCTTGTACAACTTCTTTCAGTTGTGTTTTGCTCTTGCCCATGTTGGCCTTGGTGGTATCTAGCCACCATGGTTTCTGGTGGCTTCATTTCCTTTTATAGCTGCCCATTTCAAGCATAGCCATCTTCTCTGGCAATTCCTTTTCTAGCAATGTTTATTCTAAACTGCAAATGTAACAGAAAATACTAATTTGCACTATGGAGTTGTTACCACAATGTTAAGACCATTTCATGTCTTAGGTGCTTGCTGTTCCAGATTTAGGATATTACCACTTTCAGTAACGGTAACAGAGTAACAGAGTTGGAAGGGACCTTGGAAGTCATCTAGTACAGCTCATGCAGGAGACCTGTACTAGGGATTTGAACCGCCAAACTGCCAACCTTTCTGATCGACAAGCTCAGTGTCTTAGCCACTGAGCCACCTTTCAGATAAGAGGATGAGAAACGGGCTAATATGAAGATACTGTAGCTCATAATTAATCTTTCTTTCAAGGCTTTGAAGGCTTATAACTGCAATTCCTGAGACAAAGACAACCTTACGGAACCAGTATAAATATATCTGTTAACACAGCTTTATTGATCCAAGTTTTTTTGGATCACACACTTCATTAATGTTGACATTTCAGCAAACTGCAGTGCTATTTATATATCATTAAATGGACACTAGGCTAAACCGGTTACTGCCCAGTGAGTCCTAAGAGTTTCAGGGAGTGAGATTTTGATAACGATACATAATAATTATGATTAAGAAGCTGATCCTGCAGCCAAGCTACAAGGAAAAACAATTTCTCTTAATATGTATTATCTTGTTTAGACAGTGCATACAGTATCTAAATGCTATCTTACACATTTTGCTTTGTAAGAATGTTGATGGTTTGCTCAACTTTAGCCATATTCTTGCCACTCCTAAAATGCAATCTTAGGCATATTGATTCAGAGTTATTTGCTTGCTTTATTCATTTTAAAAATTGTATGTCAATTTTCAAAACCAAGTTTTTCCATTTTATGGGGTCTGATTGCTGGATAAATATGTTTCTGATTACAGCTTCCATGTGGTACCACTTTATAAGTACCTAAGAGTTTTTTTTCTTGATCACTTTCTGTGACAATGTGCCTTGCTATTATTCCAGCTCCCTGCCCTCCAGCTCCATGTGCCATTTAATATTACAAAACATTTGCAGATGTTATTTAAAATATACACTAAATACACACAAACCAATTTTTAACAATACCCGAGGGCACAATGGCAACAGAGAAAAAGAGTGAGGTCTTGATTGTATAACTTATCTGCCACATTGCCTTTTTTCAAGTGAGATAATTTGGGGCTAGGAAAATTATCATAACCTATACAATTATTTATTTGAAATACTCATATTTACTTTCATTTTGGCTCTACTTGCACACGTTTCTCTTGGGCAGAACGATCACTCTTTACAAATTAAATAGAAGAGTTTTTCATTCTTAACACTGTCTGAAGGTTAAACATTCCATGAGACAAGATTTTGTATATATTTCCCCTAATATTTGTGTGTCTCATTTAGTTGCAGCGTCAAAAAAACCCAACCTTTGGTTAATTTTTCCTTTAACAAGAGACACATAACATTCAGTCTCTCTTTTCTTTGTGAGAATGCTAGCAAACTTGTTTCCTGCAGAATAGACCGCGGGAATAAGGTGGTATCAGGTTAAGAACCTAAAACAGGAGCTGAGGTAGGAGATATTTACAGCTCTGTAACTGATATACTGATTTTAAATGGCAAGGAAGTGTGTGTGTGTGTGTGTGTGTGTGTGTATGAGAGAGGGGGGGAGGGAAGGAGGGAGGGAACAACAACCAGTGTTTGCTAGTGTTGAATAAAATATTCACACATTTTATTCAACACTAAAAAAACAGTAAAAAGATTTTGGACAAAATTCTGCAGCTAGGAAAAAATATATATAATTATTAATTTAATTAAAAAACAAGACAGACAGAACCCTATCAAATGCTTTGACATAAAAAAGGAGGTTTCTCAATTGATCAATGGGAAAACATGTGGATGAAGGGACTGAATTTACATTATGTTACAACTGTTACAAAATGATGTGTAGATGGTACTTATCACCGGATAAATTGGCTAAAATGTATAAAGGAATAGTTACTGTAGGTGTAACACTCAAATAGGAATCTTCTACAATCTTTGGTAGATTTGCAAAAGAGCTAAGCAATACTGGAGTAAAATTAGTACTGTAATTCAAAAAATCTTGAAAATTAATGTACAACTCAGACCAAAAAATTGTGAGGGTTTATGGATAAAACATTGGAAAAATCATATTGTTATATATGACAACTGCAGCAAAACTTTTATATGCTCAGTATTGGAAAGATCCTACACTACTTACAATAGAGGAATCGGTAATAAAGATGACAGAACTGGCAATGATGGCTATATTAATGGATCTTGTAAGATATAAAACACTGAAGAAATCGATCTATAATTGGAAGTCCTTTGTGGACTTTTTGCAGGAGATGAGAAAAATCAAATTTTGACATATGCATTTGAAGATTGATACATTTTTAAAATATTTTTTCCCCTCTTTCCTTTTTTTGAGGAAAATGGACATCGTATCACAGTCTTAAACTAAGAGCTGAATTGAAGTGTGCCTTGTATTCTTGGAAGTTGGAAGTCATTCTTTATTTATATTTTTGTTCTCCTTTCTTTCTCTTCTTACCTTATTGCACTTCTTCTGTTCTTACTTTTTACACCTTTTCTTTTGACTGTTAGTTTTTGTTGTCTTTTATGTGTAAAATTTAATAAAAGTATAAGAAAGGACATTAAAAAGAAGGTAGGCCTTACATTGCTTTCATGTTGTTTTCAGGTAAAAGTGGAATTTCCAAGACTTTGGTGTTGGAAAGTATGGTTTCGTGGCTGGTTGTGGAAACAGTCTTCCCTGTGATCCGATGAACCTGGTAGAAGGCATGGGGCCGCAGCAGGCGGTCATCTGCAGTCCCAATGAAGAGCTGTAGTGTGAGTGGTTCACTTTCTAAGTAACCATGTAGCTGGAAAGAGAATATAAAGAGTTCCTGCTGAGCACCATATATACATCCACAACTAAGAATTTATTAATACAAAAGGCAGTCTAATTGAAGGAGAAAACCAGTGACAGGGCTAAGTGTTAATATCTCCCCACCTATACACAATAGGATATATTCATTTTCTCGGGGTTTTTTTGTAATACAATATTGGATCAATACAGGCAGTCCTTGACTTGCAACCATTTGTTTAGTGACCATTCAAAGTTACAACAACACTGAAAAAAGTGACTTAGGACCGTTTTTCACACTTACAAGGATCGCAGCATCCCTATGGTCACGTGATCAAGATTCAGACATTTAGCAACTGGCTCATATTTATGACGGCTGTAGTATCCTGGGGTCATGTGATCACTTTTTTGCGAACTTCTGACAAGCAAAGTCAATGGGAAAGCCAGATTCCCTTAACAACCATGTTACTAACTTAACAGCTGTAGTGATCCCTTAACAACTGTTACAAGAAAGGTTGCAAAATGGGGCACTTAACATCTATCTTGCTTAACAATGGAATTTGTGGTCATAAGTCGACGACTACTTGTAGAGAGGTGAACTTAGGGAATGTCTCATTATTTTACATGACTTAGATCGTTTCATTGAGGTTTTAAACAATGCTGCTTTAAATTGCTAGAAATGTCATCAACTCTGGGAGTTGAAGTCTACAAGTCTCAAAGTTGCCAAGGTTGGAGACCTCTGGTTTAGGGGACAAAAAAGCCCTAGTCTTTCCTATGTACCGACAGCTCATCTTCCATTGGTTTGGAGAGCCAGAATGCAACCGAAAACTCACAACGCAGAAAACCAAAACAATATAACAACATCTTTGCTGGGCCTGGTAATGCCAAACATGTGACTACGCCTACTTAATTCAATGGGATCTCTTCCCAGGAATGACTAGGACAGCAGCTTAGAGATGCCTTCCCCAACCAGGTGCTTTCCAGAAGTCCTTGGACTGAAACTCCTCTGGTTTCTATAAGGAGGATCTAAGTTTAGGAGTTACGATCCCAGCACTTCTGTATAATGACATCTCACTGGCTTAAAACACAGAACTGGAGTCAATCAACAGACAAGCTTGCATTGTGTTTGGTTCTGTCTCTGGGGCTGTTGGTTCTGTCTCTTTATTATCTGGGCTTAATAGGAAAAAGGATGGATGAGCTTTTACTCTCTGAAGCAGCATTCCCCAACCAGGGGGTTACTTCCTACTTCCTTTCTGCCTAAAATAAAAAGTAATTCTTATTACAAACATGATTTTCAGTGTCTCTTTACTAAGACTTATTAAGTAGAAAGGGATGGGGTTACAAATAATTCTGGCAACTGAACTATTTGCTATCTACAACCAGTACAATACATTTGAGAAGAATCTTCCTCATCTTTCTATTTTATTTTTACTGCCTTTCTGTGAACTGGTAGGTAGGTCTCCTCCCTAATTCTGAAGAAGTTTATAGACAGTTGTATATAAAACCATTTTCTGAATCCTCATCAGTTTGGCTGCTGACTATAACATTGGTATCTTCTAGAAGAATGAACTTCAGCTCCAGGAATTTATTCTTATTCATTATTAAGGTGCTCAACAACTGGGCCACATTTATGACCATTTGTAGCATTCTGCATTTTACATTGTTTTGCCAAAAACTGGCATTTACTTCCATTGGTTTAACGATTGCCGTAAAAAAGATTGTAAAATAATGTCGGTCACATGACCGATCTGTTTTATGACTCTCACTAATTACAACCTTGATGCACAGGCTCCATTAAAGTTGTAACTTGAGTATTACATGTTCGTTTAATTTTTTTTCTAAAATTGAATTGTTGTGATTCTCTTAAGGATCCTAATACTGCAGATGCCTTGAACTGCTGATATTATCTGATTGTGTAATGAAACATCTGCAAGCAAACAACCAAGCTCAGAGAGCACCAAGAACTCCACATTTCAATCCTGAGATATTTGCTTCTATGGGAACTTTGGATGTTGCTAAAGAATTCAGGCCACAACATGTTTCAGTTGTATATGTTGCCAAGTTAACATTATAGAGAGTCACGTTGAGAATTCATTCTCTCAAGGTCTTTAAAGGAACCAACAGAAATCAAGTGCTTTAAACTCTTGTTTTCTTGTTTGCATCAAGCTTCCAAGAATACATCTTTCCCTGCTAATTTCAAATATGAGATATTCCACAGCATCAATTTCTCATTGATTCTATATCAAAATGTAACCGCTGATCTATTCATTACCAAATCTGTCTGGCAGCTTTCAAGACTGGAAACAAAGATTCCTGTTTAGTATACCTAGATTTTAAAAGTTTCTATAATTTCAGAAGTGCAACAACATTTAGTCTCCCCTCCCCAACAGGAGAATATTCATAAAAGGTCCTATTCAAAAGGATATAGATACTAAAATAAAAGCCCACTATAATCATAATGTGATCTCAATTTGCCAAGCTGAGGGGCTTTAACTTGGTAGAGAGATCTTCTTACTAACATCTCTGTATAAAATATATATTGGGTATTAAGTGTGGAATCCCTCTTAAAATAACAATAATTTCCTAGAGACTTAATGGAAGTTTCAACTTTTGAGTCTACTGATATTGCAACTATACAGTCAACAAACTGGGTTATTTTTCAAAAAAAAAAAAATAACCCAAGTATTTTATGTTTATGCAAAATTTACATCTGTATAAATTGAAATTCTAATCTCTTGCAGTAACCCACAGATATAAGGACAGATATTTTTCTAGTTAAAGGTACAACCAGAGTATTAACTGTACAACTTCAATAAGCTTACTTGCTGCATAATTATCCAAGTCGCAGGTATAGAAATATAGCAAATCAATGTTATCTTTCTTTAAAAAGGGGGTAATTTAAAAATCTTTTGTATCAGTGTCCAAACACTGTTGCATGGAGTGTTTTTCTAATTAGGGAGGTTGCGGGATGGATAAGGGTGTGGTGAGGAGATTCCTGAACCAACACATCATTCTATTGTTACATTCTCTAAATGAACCATTGCATTGCACTAGGTGGTTTCAACTCCACAAAATGTTAGGAAACATGGGAATATGGAAGGAGATTGTAGGTTGTTTTCTTCTCTTGTTATGAAGCAGTAACCAAAGAGCCTTCGGAATATTGGCAAATCTTTATTTGCATTGACTGAAAGAGCTACCATAACAGGACGGGAAAGGGGGCCATTCACTCTACAAATAATGCGGAGTTGGGGGCATGGGCAAAACTTCATTAACCTAAGCTGTGTTACAGAGCCAATCAATTGACTGCAACTTCCACTACAACTCCAATTGGCTCTAGCTTGGCCAATGACAAAGCTTGTATACTAGTACAGGGGTAGGCAACTATGGCAACTTTATGACCTGTGGACTTCAACTATGACCTATGGACTTCAAATCCTGAGCTATGCTGGCTCAGGAATTCTGGGAGTTGAAGTTCACAGGTGTAAAGATGCCATAGCTGCCCACCCCTATACTAGTAGGATATAACATTGCTTAAATGTAGAAATCACTACATGGAGTCAATGCAAAGCTCATTAGGCATATACAGAAAGCCTTAAACCGGTGTGCAGCTTGGGATGGCATTTTCCCTTAGAGCTTATTTACATTAGCACGGGAAAACTGTGTTTTAAATACATGTGCACATTTTAATAACTAGACTTGTTACATTGTCCGTCTTAAAATTATTTGTGTATCAGCTGCTGAACTGCCTGCATCATATATAAACAGGTATTAATATACAGTGGGAAAATGGAAAACAGTATTATTTAAATGAATTCTTATGAACTACTTAGAAATATGGCTTGTAGCCAATCATAATGCTGCATTAATTTTAAAAAAACCTCATTGAGCTAAAGCTTTAATAACAGACAAGTTCAATGGTTCATATCTAGTCCAACTTGATATAGCCAGGATGAGTGGGATTCCTTTTCTACCTGTTCTCAGCAAAATTCAAGAATTCAAGTGCCACAAGAGGAGAGAAAAATGTATCATTTTACTACATGCAAATACTGATACCTTTCTTATGATTTGTAGGATTTCCTACTGAGTTATGAGCAATACTGTACTTCTACAATGTGAGGCTCAGTTTCCAATTTATATAATGATATAACATGGGAGACAGACGCTTGACAAATTTTAAAAAGTGCGTCTTTGACAAAAATCACCTCTTCTTACCCATTTCTGTATTGCATTTCACTTGGAGGAACATCAGATGATTCAAAATTAATTAAACAATATCATTACTTGTTATTATATCACTTGCTAAGGGTAAGCATTCTACCTTCATTACACAGGGTAGTGACGGCAGAAGACTGGAAAATAGACAAATATAAGTGGACATGTTTAATTACTATTTTAGAACTATGGCATTGACCAGGGGTGTCAAACTCAAGGCCCGTGGGCCATATCTGGCCCGCAGGGTGTTTAGATCTAGCCTGCAGCCCCCCCCTGGAAACAGCAAAGAACCGGCCCACAGTGACTCTGCCAGCAAAAACAGAGCTTGTGAGGGAAAAAACAGAGCTCCGTTTTCGCTGGCAAAGGGCTGCAGGAGGCCATCGCAGCTGAAAACGGAGTCTGGGAGGGCCGTGCACAGCCATCACGAGCTCCATTTTCACTGGCAGAGTGCTAGCAAAACAAACTACAAGGAAAAGTGGCATTTGATCACAAAAATGACATTGAGGTGGCCACACCCACCCTGTTCCTTCCAACCTCCCCCGGTCAAACACAACCCTGATGTGGCCCTCAATGAAATAGAGTTTGACACTGTTGTCATAGACCACGGGTGGGCAAATATGGCCCCTTTATGACCTGTGGACTTCAACTCCCAGAATTCCTGAGCCAGCTTGGCTGTCTCAGGAATTCTGGGAGTTGAAGTCCACAGGTTGTAAAAGGGCCACATTTACCCACCCCTGGCATAGACCATCTATGATAGGCTTGATTTTAAAACTTGTAGTTCTGCCTGAAATGTTACCTACAAAG